CAGCCCTGAGCAGTCCTCCCTTCCTCTGGGCTCTGGGGCCATCACTACACTCCATGCCCGCCACCTTCTGCCCATCGCCCACTTTGGGGCTGGTTCTGTCCCCAGCTCAGCTCAGCTGTGGTCTGTGCACGTGCGTGGCACCTTGGCTCACAGCAAGAACTTACAGTGATCCAGGGGTGACTCTTTGTCACTGGTCGCCCCGGAGATGCTGTAAAATTCTATACGTTGGTCATCACTGGTCTCCCGTGATGAACACTTACAGGTGTTAAATTAATGCAGGAGGGAATACAGTCCATAGTAAGGGACGCCAACTGTCTGTGGGCCTGGGGGTCCCCACTCAGTTATGTCCCAGGTATAACTGTAAATGTGTTATTCATCCATCTGAGTCTGTGACAGTTTGTTGGCCTGAAAAATAAGGGCGAAAATGATGCCTCAGTATTTTTCTAATAATTAGTGATGTTGAGCATCTTCTCATGTGTCTCTTAGCCATCTGTATGTCTTCTTTGGAGAAATGGCTAGCTAGGTTTCCGGCCCAACTTTGGAGACTTCCCGAGTAGCTCAGCAGTAAAGAATTCACCTGCAATGCAGGAGCCACAGAAGATGTGGGTTTGATCCCTGGGTTGGGAAATCCGCTGCAGGAGGGCACAACTATCTACTCCAGTATTTCTATCCACTCCAGTATTCTTGCCTGGAGAATCTCATGACAGAGGAGTCTGGCACAGTACAGTCCATGGTGTTGCAAAGAGTCAAATATGAGTGAAGCAACTTAGCACGTCCAATTTTTGATTTTTTTTTTTTTATATTGAGCTGCATGAGCTGTTTAGATGTTTTGGAGATTAATCCCTTGTCAGTTGCTTCATTTGCACATCTTTTCTCCCTTTCTGAGGATTTTCTTTTCTCCCTGCTTAGTCAGGGGAAGCTGCTGGCTAGCACAGGAAGCTGAGCTGGGTGCTGTGTGATGACTGGGAGAGTGGAGGCCGGGAGGGTGCTGTGTGATGACTGGGAGGGGCAGGGTGGAGGCCTGGAGGGAGGCACGGGGTTGGGGGGGGGTGCTCTGTGATGACTGGGAGCGGCAGGGTGGAGGCCGGGAGGGAGGCACGGGAGGGGGGATGTATGCATGCACACGGCTGGTTCACTTCACTGTACAGCGGAAATCAAGACGACTTTGTAAAGCAACCATGCAGCATTTAAAAAATGGTGCCTCACAGCGCTGCGGAGATTGAATAAATGCAGACAAGGCCCTGGAATGGTCGTTGGTACAGAGAGAATGTTCTGCGTGGGGAAACTTTCTCATCCTCAAGAAATAGCCCTGGATAGAAGGCCCAGGGCGTCTGGACCCCGGGACGCTCGGGGGCTGGGAGCCTGTGTAACCCAGGAGCTGGCATTTTAAGCTCTTTGGGGTGTGACTTTGTCCCAGACTGCAGCTCACAGTAGTTGCGCAGGAAATACTTGTGAATGAGTGAATGATCTGGAAGTAGGTCAGTTTGGCAGGAAAAGTTAATGAGAGAGAGGCGACGAGGAGGGTGGAGGGAGGGGCCGAGGGCATCAGACCTGCGGGTGGGAGGAGGGGTCGGTGTCCTGCCCATGCGGTGAATCCACAGCGGGGTCCCAGGAGGGGTGGTCCAGGGTCTGACCTGTCATCTAGAGGCATCGGTGGGTTTTAATCAGCATCTGTTAGAGAGGGCAGGAGAGGCAGGGGCAGAGCCCATGAGGACCTATTTATTGCCAGAGTCCTGGAGACGGGACAGGAGGGAGTGATGGCTTCCTACAATTTGGGAAGCACGTTTTTGGGCGTATGACTCCTGGAGATGATGTTTCTTCCCTTGATCAGCGGCTAAAATGTGGTGGAAGCAGAAGCGCCCCTGGCTGCTCTCTGTTGAGTCTCCCCTTCTGTCAGTGGGCAGGAGGCCGCCTCCCCTAGAGGCCGAGAGAGCTGGGGATTTGAAGTGTGTTCTCAAGTGGGGTGGGGGAGACCTGGGGGGGGTGGGAGCTTCTGAGGGGATGGGGCACCCTCTCTGCACAGCCCAGTAGCGCTCTGATCCTGGCTCTCCCCACCGGCCACCTGCCTCTGCACCTTCAGTGCTGTGTGTCGTCAAGGTGACGGGCATTGCCAGGATACAGGGGCCGGGGTTCAGATCCCACCCTTCCCAGGTGTGTGATCTTAGGTGCCTCTGGGTTCGGCTTCAGTGTCCGTGGAGCCGCCAAGTGAGAGTCCCTTTGGGAGTTTTCTTGGGAGGATTAAATGCGGTGATGTCTGCAGGGTGCAACTTGGGGTCTGGGGTTTGTCAAGGCCAATATCAACACCTCGTAAAGCCACTGTGGTCCCGTCCCTCTCTTGGTCCATCATCCTAGTTTTGCCCTCCCCCCACCCCCCAAGGTGTCAGCCACATTGAAAGTCACCTGCAGTCTGAATGTGAAGTCACAGCTTCCCTTGGCTGACTGCCTCTCTGCAAACCCTCCTCCTTCCATCTCAAGCGTCGTCCCAGCCATTCCACAAGGGACATGTCCGCAGCAGTTCAAACTGAGCAGAGACCTTCCTGCAGCCCTCCTACCTCTCCTGATTTCTCCACCTCCTCCCAGAGGCTCTTACTCACCTCTGGATGTGAGTCCTGGTCGGCCTTGATTTAGAACGATGTGTCTGTGTCACCTGGGGGCTGTGTGTCCCCTCCCCACCCCCAGAGAGAAGGACCATGCCAGGCTTGCCCAGTCTGGGCACCCCGCCCCTTTCTGTGCTCAGTAAGTGAATCATCTGGAGGGAGCAGGGTTCAGGACTGGCCTCATTTCTGGAGGGAGGGACCAGAGTGGTGATGGTCACACACTCGTGCAGAGCTTTTCCTTTTAAGTATAAGCTGATATTAGGGCCTGAATTGTGCTTGCATACTAAGTCACTTCAGTTGTGTCCAACTCTATGCAACACTATGGACCGTAGCTCGCCAGGCTCCTCTGTCCATGGAATTCTCCAAGCAGGAACACTGGAGTGTGTTGCCATGCCCTCCTCCAGGAGATCTTCCCGACCCAGGGATGGATGCCACAACTCTTATGTCTCCTGCATTGGCAAGTGGGTTCTTTACCACGAGCAGCCCCTGGAAAGCCCCCTGAAATTCACATCCAGGAGCCTCATCTCCGGACCTCAGAATGTGACAGTGTTTGCAGATGGGTCTTTATGGAAGTGATTAATGAGGATCTTTATGGAGGTCACTAGGGTGGGCCCTGATCCAACATGACTGGGACCCTGATAAGACTCAGACACACAGAAGGACAGTCATGTGAGGACGCAGGGAAAAGACGGACGTCTACTCAACAAGTAGAGTCAGCCTCACAGGAACCTGCAAACACTTTGATCTCGGACTCGCAGCCTCCACACGGTGAGCCAGTAAATGTCCCTTGTGCAAGCTGCCCAGGCTGCGGGCATTTGTGTAGCAGCCAGGACACTGATCACTGGGCAAGTAGAGTTGTCAGCAGGGCAGCCGTGCTGCCCCCGACCCTGCTCCTGGTCCATTTTCCTTTAGAAGAAAGGAGACTTCGTGCCTGGTTTGCAAACCCCCATCTCCAGCTGCACTTAGCCCAGGATTGCGGGAGTGATGAAAAGGGGCCGCTTTGACTCAGGCCTGAGGCTCTCCTGATACATGTCTGGAAGCTTACTGGGAGGAGCGACCAGGACAAAGCTGGATCTAGGCAGTCAGGGCTCCCTGGCCATGATAGCCCCCCGATTATAAGCCGCCACCTGGAGCCCTTTACGGTCAGGCCGCCTGGGAACAGCCGTGCGCTCCTGGGCCACATGTGCAGGGACAGGCTGTGAGCTGAGTCCCGAGGAAACCCCGCCTTGATCCAGATAATCTAATGAAGGAAACAGGGCTGATTAATCCCAGACCCCTCCGTGGGTGTTTCATCTCCCTGAATGTTAGACAACAATCTCATTATGTGTTTATGTCTTCAGCATGATAGGCAAGGAATGAAATCAAGCCATAAAATCAATTATTTCTGCAGAAATTGTCGCATAAGACAGAACATCATCAGGGAGACAGAAGCAGTTACGACGAGGGCTTAATGTGCCCCATGCTGGTTTCAGGGCCAGTGTCACAGCTTGCCAGGCTTGCCGAGGCTTCCTGATGCGGGTCCCGGTGCTGGGCACAAAATGGAAGCTATTCTTTTCTTAATTTATTTTTTTATTGAGGCGTAGTTGATTTACACTGCTGTGTTCCTTTCAGTGTACAGAAAAGTAATTCAGATCTATCTATCTATCTATCTATCTATCTGCTTCTGCTTCCCCTCCCCTGTAGGTTATTGCAAACACTGAATTCAGTTCCCTGTGCTACACAGGGAACTCTCTCTGTGTATCTCTGTGTATCTCTCTTTTATACATAGGAGCATGTGTATCTGTTAATCCCAACCTCTTACTTTATACCCCTCCCCCTTCCCTTTTTGAGCATGTTTGTTTTCTATGTCTGTGAGTCTCTTTCAGTTTTGGAAATAAGTTCATCTGTATCTTTTTTGAGGTTTCATATACGAGTGATATTATATGATATTTATCTTTCTCTGTCTGACTTCACGCATTCTTCAGATGTCTGTCTCCATCTCTGTCTCTATATCTGTCTCTACCCACCTTTCTTCTGAGTAAATGTAAAAGACAGCATTCCAACTGGATTGGGAGAGTCCTTTCCAGGTTACCTGAGTCTCAGGGGTAGCAGATAGATCAAAAGCATAACTATATGACTGCATATTTTTTGAGGTACTGGGGAGTAGTAAAAAAAAAAAAGAAAGCAGAACTACAACAAGAAAGCTCTGGCTCAGAAGACAAGAGATGCTGCAGTCTTGACTCCCCACTGCCCACTCCTTGGATCCCCGGTTTCTCTGTCGGCCAGCCGTGGGGTCGTGGGAGGTGGTCTCCAATCTGCGCAGTGTTTCACGGGGACCATGCGAGGCTGCGGGCCGGGGGATCTGCCCGGGGCAGCTGGGCGGCCATCAGCTCCCTGCAGGGACCGGTCGTCCTAGTGGCTCACCGGCCAGGAAGAGTCCCCAGCGAGGTGGAGGCAGGAGAACTGGTGGACGGACACTCCACGGCTTCTGACCTGGCAGGGAGAGGGGCTTGAGGAGCAACAGGGAAGAAGGCACCGGACCCACGGCTTCTCCCCTGGATTCTGAGGCTGGAAGCATCTTTTGCACTGCCGCCTGCCCTGATACAAGAGTCGCTCTTGAGGAAGGCAGGGGAAGCCCAGGCCAGGGGCATCTATGACCTCTGTCTTTGGAATTGTTGGCAACAAGAATTTTCTCTTTTTTCCCTTTGTCATTAAAGGCAAGTGTAAGGAGGGAAAAAAAGCAAATATAAGTATTGAAAACAAGGTAACCTGTAGCGTGTCTTCCATGATCCACTTGGGTGCTGGTGTGGGGGAAGCGAAGAGGGGCACAGTGTTGGCTGTAAAAACACATTGGTGACAGAGGGGATTAAGGTGGTTTGAGGAGGACTCACTCTGCTTGCAGAGCAGGGCCAGGTCCCCCATAGTGAGGTCTCTGCTCCCATCGCTTGCCCAACAGGAATCACAAATCCTGGGGCAGTAGAAGCCACTGAGACCCCGGAAGGCAGAGTGACCATTCCCAGCTGCACGAGCAGGACAGGAGGAGCCAGGATGGGAGACCCTGCTGAGACCTTCCTCTCATCCCAGGTACCACTGCACACAAGAAGCACCTCCGTCCACTGGGCCGAACTGAGTGAGAAGAACATGGGCCTCAGGGATGGTCCCCCACAGCCCTGACCCTTGTCCTCTCTTCCTGGACTGTGGCTTGCATTATTCCCAAGGAAAGGCCAACAAGATGGATTTGATGCAAGACACTCCCAGACCTCTGGTCCCTTCCCAGGCAGGTGGGGTCCAAGGTTACAAGTCAGCCATGGGATCTTGCCCAGAAAGGGGACTGGCGGAGCTCGGTCTTCTCCACTTGTGCAAGCCCTTCACCTCCTCCCAACCTCACTCCCCTCCCCTCACTGGGGCTTGGCCCCCATCCCCACTGCAGGGAGAGCCTTGCCCTGTGCCCACAGTGACTGGCAGTGGTTGCTGCTGAAGATTCCAGAGTGCATGTGAAGGCAGGAGGGGCTGTGGTTGTCCCAGTGTCAGTGCAGGGCCTGGAGGTGTCTCTAATCAGCAGGTGGGTGGGGTGGGGGAGATCATGGTGACCTCTGCCACCCCGAGGACCGTCCCTTCACCCGGGACTTGCCCTGTACTTGTTGCTTCACACGCCCTCTCCTCGCCAGGGACATGGGCTCTGGGTCCTTCATTAGACGCTAGCATGACCTGGTGGCCCTGGGCTCTACCTGGCGGAGATGAAAACTGGGGATTGAACTGGGGATCATGGCGGTTACCTGAACCCCACAACCACATTGGAGGGTGATCAAGATGGACTAGAGAAGCCAGGTGGGCTCTGAGGCTGCAGCAGAGACACCTGCACCATTCCCCCATTCACCTGGGCTCAGGGGCAGCCTGAGAGGTTGCCAGGGTCCGCTATGCCAGTCCCCTCCCCATGGGAACAGAGCAGAGGGAAGGAAGACAGATGGCAACTTCTGGGCTCACCGTCGCCCTCAGGAGGTTGGACGCAGCAGGCCTGGCCCTCTGGAGTGACGGGGCAGGACTGCAGGCTGAGATGACGGGATTTCTCAGGTGAGAGCTAAGCTGCCTCAGCAGGAGCTGGTACACTGCAGGGTGTGAGCCGGCCAGTGTCCAGGGTGTGGAGGTCACAGGTCTGCAGGTTTTGGCTGAGCGTGGGGTGGGGCCATCACCATCGGGGAGTAGGGCAGGTCCCGGGAGAAACATCTCCAAGGCCCCCCGGGCCCCCTGAATGACCGGGGGAGCAGGCCGAAGGCTGGGGCGAGACAGAAGATGGGAGGGGTGTGTGAGGTGAGACAGAAGATGGGAGGGGCGTGTGAGACGTGAGGGGCGCAAGGCTGGGGACACGAGTCGGGGGAGATGACTCTCCAAAGTGGGCAAGTTGGTCAAAAAGCAGAAAAGGAAAGACCCTTGCTTTAGAAAGCTGCTGACCGGTCTCTAAAGCACAAAGAAATCTCTGGAATATCATCTGTGCTGAGGTCACAAGTTGTGCTAACAGAAAGGTGCTGATATTCCCCTCAAAATATTCCAGTCAAACAGTGAAAGAACTCTGATTATGGCTCAAGCCCAGTCCAGACCCAACTCAACCGATGAGCAGATGGATTCACCCACGTCAACTCTATACAATAATGGTCTGGCAGGAGAAGGACAAGCTTTCTTCTGGAGGGAAATATCTAACTTTTATTTACTTTTGGTCTCTATCTTTTTATAACAATGTCCAGGGTAAAATACAAAAGCACATGATACGTGAAGAAACAGAAAGAAAGTGGGACTGATGTCTTGAGAAGAAAGATCCAATGGAAGCAGGCAGAGATGATCTGGATGGTGGAATTATCCAACAGGGACCTTAATATGCCTATGACAGCTATGTCAAAGGACTGAGTGGAGAGGTGGAAATAAACTGGGGGTCTCATCCTAGAGATGAAAGTTAAATACTCAAGTGTAAATGCTAGAGAGGAAGAATGGGACATCAATGATGATTTACTGGATGCTTACCAGCAGGTTGGGTACAATCGGGCTCCCGGGGTCTGGCCCCAGGCTGAAGGGCAGGTCCCATCCTCCCCACCTGTGGCTGGTTCTCCTTGAACTCCTTGGACGTTGGAGCATGTTCCACACGTGGCAAATAGATGAGGCACAGAGCGACAATGGACAGCACTTGTGGACTTATCAGGTGTTGTGGCAGCCTTGGCCCATGGTCTGGAGCACACTGCCCAACTGAGTCTTGTAGCAGGAGGGGACATATCCCACCCCTTGAGGGGGAGGAAGCACAATGTCATGTGACTGGTGTGAAGTGTAATCCTATTACAGGGAGGGACTGAAGAATTAGGAATAATCACCCATACCATGCCCCAAAGGAGGCAGGCTGGAGAGTGAAATGTGAATGTCATAAGACTCTGTATTATCCAGGATGTAGCGAAACTAGTAATTTAAGGAAGGCTGTAATATATAAAAGGTGCTTATTATAATCTCTTTATTTAATCACTAAAATAACAAGAAAATGTTTAACAAGCTCATGATGAAGAAAATAGAATAATAAACATACTGGATTGATGCAGAAAATTCAAGAAACAAAGAAAAAGGGAAAAAATGAGAGAAATAGAAAACAAAGGTCAGAATCATAGTTTGAAACCGAATGTATAGTGACTACTAGGTTGTGGGAAATGGTCTTCTGTTGGTTGAATCCATCAAATGCTGGCAATGCCGTGTGGTTCAATCCAGCATATGAAATGAAAATTAAGCACAAGCTCTTACTAAGAGACAAAGATTATCAGACTGGATTTAAAACCTCAAACAGCAACAACCACCATACAGATTAAGTGCAAAAGAGAGACAAAGAAGGATTGAAAGCAAAATGATATTTATAAAGTGCATCACGCAGATACCAACTTCAAGAACTGATGCCAGACATGGTGGGCTGAAGGTGGTCAGTGCTAATAGTGGAAAAGGGATGTTTCTTAATGATCAAAGGGTCAATTCAAGAAGTAGATACAACAACTTTAAGTAATACAGCAATCCACTTAATGCACCCTCAACATCAGTTCAGTTCAGTTCAGTCGCTCAGTCGTGTCCAACTCTTTGTGACCCCATGAACTTCAGCACGCCAGGCTTCCCAGTCAATCACCAACTCCCGGAGCCTACCCAAACCCATGTCCATTGAGTCAGTGATGCCATCCAACCATCTCATCCTCTGTTGTACCCTTCTCCTGCCTTCAATCTTTCCCAGCATCAGGGTCTTTTCAAATGAGTCAGATCTTTGCATCAGGCCGCCAAAGTATTGGAGTTTCAGCTTCAATATCAGTCCTTCCAATGAACCCCCAGGACTGATCTCCTTTAGGATGGACTGGTTGGATCTCCTTGCAGCCCAAGGGACTCTCAAGAGTCTCCTCCAGGCGCAGGGCCCCGCAGGCTGAATTCCGGGAGCAGAAGTGGCCCTGCAGCCCTGGGGTGTTGGCCTGGGGAGCAGCTCACCCCTCTGCTTTGTCCAGCTGTCCCCGGACACCGGCGCAGCCCGCTCGCTGAGTAGCCATGAGAGCCGCCTCGCTCCTCCTGCTCATCCTGCCTGGCCGGCTAGCTCAGGGCCAGCATGATCTGGACCCACCGCCTCCGTGCCCAGACCACGTGCAGTACACCCACTACAGCCACCAGATGGACAAGCCGGACTACTATGATTACCCAGAGATGACGCCTCGGCCACCCGAGGAGCAGTTCCAGTTCCAGTCCCGGCAGCAAGCCCAGCAGGAAGTCATCCCAGCCCCCACCTGAGAACCGGGGACTGTGGAGATGGAGCCCACGGAGCCGGCGCCTCCGGACTGCTGAGAGGAGCAGTGCCCATGTACCTGCCTCCCCTCCGTCCACAAGCCCTGCAAGCAGTGTCTGAACGCGGCCTGCTTCTACAGCCTCCGCCGCGTGTATGTCGTCAGTAAGGAGATTTGCGTCCGGACGGTCTGCTCCCACGAGGAGCTCCCGCGGGCTGACCTGTGCCGTGACAAGTTCTCCAAGTGTGGCGTGCTGGCCAGCAGTGGCCTGTGCCAGTCTGTGGCAGCCGCCTGTGCCAGGAGCTGCAGGGGCTGCTAGGGGGAGCTGGCTCCCTGCCGACCCGGGGCCCCCAGGCTCTGCCCGACCTGGTGCTTTCCTCCCGTCTGACGTTCCTCTTCATCCTGTTAGAGGGCTGCGGGCCTGGGGCTTGCCACAGCCACTCCCCTAGCCTGGGGCCACCCCCGGGGCCACAAGGGGGCTCCCGAAGGGCCAGTCTCTGCCCCCGGGTGGGGGACATCCCGGGCGCTCTGTGGGACCTGGGCCCCCGACGTGCGTCCCTCATCCCCCGCCAGGACCATCCCTCACCCCCAAGGTAGGCAGAGACCCCCCATCCCAGCTGTTCTGCTTGAATCTCCTACAGCCCCTGGGCGTAGACCGCCTTTGTTTTATACAAAATTAAAAACAGGTTTTTACAAACAACAACAAAAAAGAGTCTCCTCCTACACCACAGTTCAAAAGCATCAATTCTTCAGCACTCAGCTTTCTTTACAATCCAACTCTCACATCCATACATGACTACTGGAAAAACCATAGCCTTGACTAGACAGACCTTTGCTGGCAAAGTAATGTCTCTGTTTTTTAAAATACTGTCTAGGTTGGTCATAAATTTCCTTCCAAGGAGTAAATGTCTTTTAATTTCATGGCTGCACTCACCATTTACAGTGATTTTGGAGCCCCCAAAAATAAAGTCTGACACTGTTTCCACTGTTTCCTCATTTATTTCCCATGAGGTGATGGGACCAGATGCCATGATGTTGTTTTCTGAATGTTGAACTTTAAGCCAACCTTTTCACTCTCCTCTTTCACTTTCATCAAGAGGCTCTTTAGTTCTTCTTCACTTTCTGCCATAAAGGTGGTGTCATCTGCATATCTGAGGTTACTGATATTTCTCCCAGCAATCTTGATTCCAGCTTGTGCTTCATCCAGCCCAGCGTTTCTCATGATGTACTCTGCATATAAGTTAAATAAGCAGGGTGACAATATACAGCCTTGACGTACTCCTTTTCCTATTTGGAACCAGTCTGTTGTTCCACGTCCAGTTCTGACTGTTGCTTCCTGACCTGCATACAGATTTCTCAGGAGGCAGGTCAGGTGGTTTGGTATTCCCACCTCTTTCAGAATTTTCCACAGTTTATTGTGATCCACACAGTCAAAGGCTTTGGCATAGTCAATAAAGCAGAAATAGGTAGTTTTCTGGAGCCCTCTTGCTTTTTCACATGAACCCAGCAGTTAGAGAACTCTAAGGAGAAGTGGAGTCATCCCCAAACAAAGGTTCCCAGGCACGCTGGGCCAGCACAAACGCACATCTATCCAACAGAAATGGAAACAGAGGAACAGAAGGGGAAATGGTCACAACAGCTGTAGGTGTAACAGCCTTAGAACTAGAGGCGCCCGTGTGCACTAATGATAGGGTGAACAAATGGACTGTGGTTTACTCACACTATACGCACACAGCAGCAAAAGAATCAAGTATTGCCCTACACAGTGGCATGGATGGATCTTACTACCAACATGAAGCGGTGTGTGAACCCTCATTAATTGCAAGTTCAATGTACTGACCCTGGAGAGAGGCATGAGGAAGTCTTCTGGGATGCTGGTAATGTTCAATTTTTAAAAACTTAACTTTACACATTTCCTTTTATAAGATATCAGAAGCTGGAAGCTTAAGATTTGTGCTCTTTACTTCACTTGTGTTCGACTCAATTAAAAAGCCTGCAAAGATGTTTTAGACTAAGTATTTTTAAATCATCATATCAGACATTGTGATCTGACTGTTCGAGAGAAAACAGATGGCAAAAAAATTAAGGTCATATCCACATAAGCTTATCCCAGATTTCAGCTTTACAAAACTTCCCTGGCCAGCCTGATCTCTGGGGGGATTGAATAAAAATCAGCCCAGATATTTGTAATACCAAGGATGGAAATCCAATTCAACACCCTCGAGCAAAATAAAGTGGTTGGTTTATTTCCCACAATCTAGTCACAACAGCTCTCCAGAACAGTGGCATCCCAGAATGGAGACATCGTGGTGGTCCCTTTTCAGTGCCCATCTCTCTCGTGGGTCTCAGGCCACACTGCAGGGAATGATACAGAGCTCCCATTTCCCCTTGTCCCCAGCAAAATGGCTACACATCCCTGTCCTCCGGCCAACAGCTGGCCCAGACTTGCTTGGACAATGGAATGTGGGTAGAATTCACTCTACCACCTCCCAACAGAATCTTTAGGAGCTGTTGTGTGGTTGTCCTGTTGTTCTTCTCCATCTGTCCTGGGTTCACAGGTAGTCCGGGGGGAGCCTCCTCCTTCTTCTAGAATCACAAAATGAGGAAGACACAGAGAGCAAACCCCTAGCTAGCATGCACTGTGGGTCAGAAACAAACATTTCTTGTCTTGAGTCAGTGGATACTTTGAGGATACCTATTACTGCAGCACAAAGTTCCTGAGCTAACTGATACAAGACCCACTCCACAAGCATAAATCTTGAAGCTGTAAGCAGTGGGTTTACATCCTCATAGCCTTAACCCAGGGAACACGCCTGTTTCATCCTCTCAAGTTTCAGCTATACCAAGTGAGGGCTCAGCTGTGCTTTTCTGGAACAAACCACTGGCATAAGAAATGGATTTCTATAATCACCATGGGATAGGCACTGATAATTTTGAGCCTTGAAATAGTAGTCTACTTACAAATCCATGGTTTAAAACAAAGCTTTTCCCCAGAGAAGATGGTTTTGTTTGGATATACAGGCAACAAATATATATTCCAGTTACCACAAGATGCCAAGAGTTGATCAGTATGACTCAAGTCATAAAATACGAGCAATAGATCGAGGTCGATCCATGGACGTGGTCAGGGAAAGGGACCCAGAAATAATATTATGATGTGAATGCCTTTAAATGTTAATGAACACTCCCTAGTCTGAGTCTGGTTTTGAGACATTTTTCTCAGCCCTGCGGTGTGCTAAATACCATGTGGACCATAAAAACCTCTTGCGATCCGTCCAGCCATTTGGCCTTTTTCTATGCTGTTGACCTCAGGACTCTGAGTGACTGTGGCTCCTGAGGAAATAGGGAGTTGAATCAACTGCATTTGAGTTTATCATCTTTGTCCTTGAATAGGATTCTGTTTGCTCTTTATCAATGAATGGTCTCATGATACACCTAGCTTTCCAAAAAATGAGACTTAAGGGTCGTGTGTTGACCCTTTTGCTAGTTTCCTGTGGCTGGTGTAACAAACGATCACACACTTAAAACAACACAGACTAATCGTCTTATAGTCTGTGGGTCAGACATTTGCTATGGGTCTCTCTGGATGAACAGCAAGGTGCTGGCAAAGCTGGATCTCTTTCTGGAAGTTCTACAGGAGAATCTGTCTCCTCCCCCTTTCCAGCTCCCAGAAGCCATGTGCAGTGGTAGGCTCGTGACCCCCTCCTTCCATCTTCAAAGCCGGCAGTGAAGGGCCAAGTCTTGGCTCATTACTGCACCCTGAACTCCCTGTCACGGCCACGTCCTCTCTGACCTCTTCTTCTGCCTCTCGCTTCCATTTTTAAGAATATTTGTGATGACGATAATTCAGGATAACCTCCATATTTTAAAGGCAGTGGGTTGGCAACCTAGATTCCATCCACAGCATTGATTTCTCTTTATGTATAACTGAACATGTTCACAGTGTCCAGGAAGTAGGACACGGGCATCTTGTAGGGGAGGTGACATTATTCTGCCAAAATATACTAATCAAATACCTACACCCAGATTCGTTTCTTAATAGTCAGTCCTTCATTGATTCCTGCTTAATTCTCCAGTTTTATTTTCCGTCATTTGAGCCAAAGTTCACAGTAACCCTATATCATGGTTTGCCTGGGTAGTTCTGGACTTGGCCCGTTCAGTACCAAGCAGATCCTGATGTGGATGGTCAGTTACATGGCTGTTCTGTGTTCCACCCAACCAGACCACGTGAGTTCCCCAGGAACACTGAACTCTCTCTTGCGTGCAGACTTTGCATGTCTCTATCCTTGCACGGGGTCTCTGCTGCCCTCCCACATCTGTTTGGAAACACAGTAAGCCCTCATGCCTTTGCAGTAGACACTCATGCCTTGTCTTCTGTTAAACTGCTCTGCTCAGTGGAGGCACATCTGCTCATACCTGGTCTTTTGCCCATTCTGTCCTTGTACAGGACTCTTGTTATGAAAGGTGGGCTGTAAAGGAACTGCTGCTGCTCTGCTCTCTCCCCCTTCCTGAGGGTGAGCTCCTTGAAGGCAGAAAGGACCTCAGATCTCCAGATGCTCACCAAAAACACATGCACAGTTACTTCTCAGTAAACACAGATAGAGTTGAAATAACTGGGCATCCATCCTCCTGGAAAAATGCAGAGCTAGAGTGTGTTGATTCCCTTCTCCACCATGCTTAAGAAGAAATTAATAATTAATGTAGTGATATGCCATTGAGCATTGAGCACATCAAAGTCCCTTTTAGTTTTATTTTTTCAAGCCATAGATTGTTAACTGCAGAAGGACTTAGATAATTTTTGTGTGAGTGTGCTTGCTGAGTTTTGCTTCAGTCATGTCTGACTCTTTATGACCCTGTGAGCTATAGCTGCCAGACTCCTTTATCCATGGGATTCTCCAAGCAGGAATACTAGAGTGGGTTGCTATGTCCGCCTCCAGGGGATCTTCCTGACCCAGGGACTGAAGCCATATCTCTATGTCTCCTGCATTGGCAGGTGGGTTCTTTACCACTATTTGCTCTGCAGCTTCTATAGAATTAATCCATCCAGGCAATGCTTCATCGGAGAAGGAAATGGCAAACCACTTCAGCATTCTTCTCTTGAGAATCCCATGAAGAGTATGAAAAGGCCAAAGGATAGGATACTGAAAGATGAACTCCCTAGGTTGGTAGGTGCCCAGTATGCTACTGGAGATCAGTGGAGATCAACTCCAGAAAGTATGAAGAGACGGAACCGAAGCAAAAACAAGACCCAGTTGTGGATGTGACTGGTGAAGGAAGCAAAGTCCGATGCTGTAAAGAGCAATATTGCATAGGAACCTGGAATGTTAGGTCCATGAATCAAGGCAAATTGGAAGTGGTCAAACAGGAGATGGCAAGAGTGAACGTTGACATTTTAGGAATCAGTGAACTTAAATGGACTGACATAACCTAAGATATGCAGGTAACACCACCCTTATGGCAGAAAGTGAAGAACTAAAGAGCCTCTTGATGAAAGTGAAAGAGGAGAGTTAAAAAGTTGGCTTAAATTTAACATTCAGAAAACTAAGATCATGGCATCCAGCCCCATTACTTCATGGAAAATGGATGGGGAAAC